CACCCCCCCACCCCGTTACACCCTTTTCCATGTCATTAACGCCCCTCCCCAATCTCTGCCATGTTTAGCTAGCCTCGTGTCTGCACCCGGGAGTCCCGCGGGCCTTTATTCAAACAGTTACCCGTTATTCTTCATGCTGCTAGCTAGACCAACACCGCCGTCCTGCTGTACACGAACTGAAAGTAGACCCACGACCACGTGACGAGCCTTGTGTAATCCTGTGCAGGGAGACCGCTCTCGTGTGATGTCATCGGGCAGCGGATAAGCGAATCGGAGAGTACAAATTGGGATTTATAACTTTACCAACTTTAATCAAGTTTGTTGAAGTATTACAATTTGTCAAATACTGAAAAATCTTCAAAATGCCTCTATGATATACAAAATGTATCAACAGCAAACTAAATTTTAATTTTCTCCCCATCTTATTATTTTGTTGCATCCATTTTGATTAGTTATATAAAGTTATAACCAGTGACTGTTCACTAACATACAGAGCACAGGGAACTGATAATTTGTTTCACCTATAATTGGACCTAAACTAGTTCAGGTACATAAATGTAAAGATCAACTTTTGGAATGCCGATGGTTGGAGGTGGCATTTTTACTGAAATTTGATCTTAACCCTAAAACGTGTAAAATAACTCTGAACACCTTAGCTAAGGTCTAAATATAGCTGTAGCAAGTTCTCAGGTCCCTGTGATACAGAACCGTCAGAGGAGATTTCCAGGCGCGTAGCTAGCCCCTTTACCATGTGTAAGCCCGACATGGGGTTGCCGAAGGCAGCCCCCCCGCCCCCGGAAGCGCGTAGCCCGAGGCAGGGGGAGGGTATGGGAAGTGGTCTTCCCCCTCCCGTAATGGGGTCTGGGGGATCTCCCCCATGAAAAATTTGTTTTTTTAGATCGTCCCAGGAGCCATTTCCCACGTCCTGATGTCCGTTTTCTCGTTTTAATCCGCAAGAAAAAAGTCTTCTTTTTTTATATATATACCTATTTACGTGGATCCAGTGTAATTCTGAAGATTAACCGTCGGTATTGCTTTGTACACCCTCCATACATACATTGTCTGGTTTTTATCTAATCTTGATAAATGCATTTGATACTTATGCATTAGTGAACATGCAATTGGGTTTGTTTTACTCATAATCTGATTCGAGTTAATTGGGAAGCGATGTTACCCCCACTGTCACCTTTACTCAGTCTCCCACACAGTTTCGTCTTCTGTTTGTGCTTTGTGACTGGTTCCTTATACTTGCTCCTGTTATTTGTTGGGCATTTCGAGAAGCGAGGTTGCCCCACTAACTATTAACAATGTATCATATCTGAGGAATTACATATGTATACTATATATTCAAAACTTAAACTCCACTTTATAGTATCAGCAAGGATAAAAACATCATGAAAACCTATACTTGTCAAAATCTTGTGCAAGCCCGGGCTTATTGGCTTACATGGTAGCTACGCGCCTGATTTCCCCCTCTTTCCGGGGAAACTCTACGGGAAAAAACTTCTTCATGTGACGAAACCTAGTCATCCATAGGCTTGACAGTCGTCCGAAGGCTTGACAGTCCAAAGACTTGACAGTCCAAAGACCTGACAGCAGGCGCGTAGCTACCATGTAAGCCAATAAGCCCGGGCTTGCACAAGATTTTGACAAGTATAGGTTTTCATGATGTTTTTATCCTTGCTGATACTATAAAGTGGAGTTTAAGTTTTGAATATATAGTATACATATGTAATTCCTCAGATATGATACATTGTTAATAGTTAGTGGGGCAACCTCGCTTCTCGAAATGCCCAACAAATAATAGGAGCAAGTATAAGGAACCAGTTACAAAGCACAAACAGAAGACGAAACTGTGTGGGAGACTGAGTAAAAGTGACAGTGGGGGTAACATCGCTTCCCAATTAACTCGGATCAGATTATGAGTAAAACAAACCCAATTGCATGTTCACTAATGCATAAGTATCAAATGCATTTATCAAGATTAGATAAAAACCAGACAATGTATGTATGGAGGGTGTACAAAGCAATACCGACGGTTAATCTTCAGAATTACACTGGATCCACGTAAATAGGTATATATATATAAAAAAAAAATAGGACTGTTTTCTTGCGGATTAAAACGAGAAAACGGACATCAGGACGTGGGAAATGGCTCCTGGGACGATCTAAAAAACAAATTTTTCATGGGGGAGATCCCCCAGACCCCATTACGGGAGGGGGAAGACCACCTCCCATACCCTCCCCCTGCCTCGGGCTACGCGCTTCCGGGGGGGGGGGGGGGGCTGCCTTCGGCAACCCGATGTCGGGCTTACACATGGTAAAGGGGCTAGCTACGCGCCTGGACAGTCCGAAGACTTGACAGTCCAAAGACCCGACAGTCCAAAGGCTTGACAGTCGTCCGAAGGCTTGACAGTCCAAAGACTTGACATTCCAAAGACCTGACAGTCCAAAGACTTGACAGTCCGAAGACTTGACAGTCCGAGGGCTTTACAGTCCAAAGATTTCACAGTCCAAAGACATGAAAGTCCGAAACCTTGACAGTCCGAAGACTTGACAGTCCGAGGACTTGACAGTCCAAAGACTTGACAGTCCGAGGGCTTGACAGTCCAAAGACTTGACAGTCCAAATACTTGATAGTCCAATGGCTCGTTAGTCCGAGCACGGAATAAAATGCTATAGAGTCCGTGGTTCGAATATAAAGACCCGATAAGCAGAAATATACTGTTTAGGTCAAGTTATTTAAGGACGTTTTTTCTGTAGCAGCAAAAGAAGTGTAAGTGCGATGCATGCGGTAATTACAAAAGTCTTTAAACATTACGAGAAATTGTCGAAAGTGTGACCGCTGCCACAAACCATCGCTCATGACTAATCTTTGTCAATTCATTAAACAGACTCTGTCTCATGTCAAAAATTGTTTCCAACAATTTTGCGATATGAGCTAGATTTTCGTTCAAAAGGAAATTGACGAGCCATAAAACAACCTTACTATGAAGCAAAACAATGAAGCCATTAATTGAAACCTTGAACATCCTTGTCTTAAATTTTTGTTTTTGGAATTCGAGATCACACAGCTATATACAATATATCTGACCACCCTTAAACAGAATTTTGGTATGGGTGTGTAGAGAAGTCTGTTTAACAGTTCTCGACCCCTTCCCCCTCCCCCTCCCATTCTCACGCCCCTGTCTGGACCACATTCTTGCATCCATTTGTTGGGTTTTATCAAGGCTACGCCCCAGCCGTTTTTAGAGACTGATCACAAAACGAACTCCATGCACTTAATCGTTTGTATTTGAAAAATTCACTTAAGAAAGTCCTTGATCACTCATGAAAATGAGTAACATTTAAAAACTGATATATTATAGCAATATACAAAACAGATAAACGTTATGTTCATGTATATTTTAAACCTTATTAAATTCACGTTATCTATCCTTACTAACGGCTGATACCATCTGTCACACCATCGTTTTAGCATAAAACGATGAAACGGATTGTAACACTTATCTATAAAATAAATTTCCGATTTTAGTTGCAATGTTACAGCTAAATAGTTATTTTTAGTACATCAGGCGTTTGTTTCAGGATTATGTAGCGTGTGGTGACGTCACTGGGAGTATATAATACAGGTAGATGTATAGGTAGTTACATGTAGGCCCAGTGCTGTGTAAATTAGATTAATTTAAAATGTCCCTCTGAGGACCAGATCTTACATCGCATTAGGTATGCTTGGTTTATCTTCGCTTCATTGATCTGTTGCTCACGTCCTCGATAATCCATGGGTTACGCTGACTTTCGCTCTCTGCAATACTCCAGGGGTTACGCTGACTTTCGCTCTTTGCAATACTCCAGGGGTTACGCTGACTTTCGCTCTCTGCAATACTCCATGGGTTACGCTCACTTTCGCTCTCTGCAATACTCCATGGGTTACGCTCACTTTTGCTCTCTGCAATACTTACTTTCGCTCTCTGCAATACTCCATGGTTACGCTCACTTTCGATCTCTGCAATACTCCAGGAGTTACGCTCACTTTCGCTCTCTGCAATACTCCAGGGGTTACGCTGACTTTCGCTCTCTGCAATACTCCAGGGGTTACGCTCACTTTCGCTCTCTGCAATACTCCATGGCTTACGCTCGACATTATGTAGAACCAACACTTATTGTACATCTAAACAACTATTTTTTATTGCCATTGTATTAAAAACGCATTGACGTACAAAAAGCTGAAAAGAATTTTATTGCTGATGCATGGGACATTCTATACAAGTACAATTTTCATTATTTTTTAGAATTATATTTCTATGATTGGTCCTCTAGAGTAACTTTACGTTGGAAAAACCTTCTGAAAATGTTCTTATTTGTAAAGAATTGGATGACTAGAAAGATCGTTTACATAATTCGCCTGAGATTTAAAGATTCAAAAGTCTCCATCCTGAAATGCAGTGATCTGGTCCCTTTTAAAAAGCCATCCTTCTTTGATTGGAGCTTGCAAATCTGTTTCCAAATTCTGGATTACCCACCTGATTGAAAACTATTATGCGCTCATTGCAAGAGAACATTTGAAGACGCAATCACTGTTTGTTAGAATGCGGCGAGTTGGAATTAGCAAATTTCCGGGATACTTTTTTTGGTACGAATTTTGTAAATAGATATCCTGTACATATGTTGACGCTTTTTTTTCGACCAGGCAGACAGATAAATCGAAATGCTGAAGGAAGTTAGCACAACCTTTAATGTACTGCCAGACCTTGAAGCAGATAGAGGTTTTGGATGTCAGCGTCACCAATATGGATCTCGCACTTAACCTTTCACTAAGGCGACCGGGGTTCGATTTACCGATCGGACGTGAAATGGTATATTGGGTCACCTGCCCGACCACGTGGGCTTCTTCCCACATAAAATCGGAAGGGTCAGTTCGAGAGCTGTAAGGTATAAAAGACCGCGTGACGAACCAGAACCAGCTTGTGAGGCCGTGAAGTAGCAGACATTTGGGGAAAGATGGTCAACAAACATGCGACCATACCGCCTCTATGAGAATAAGTTACGAAAAGTAAAACCCATAAGACTATATCCGGACACCAGAAGGAAGTGGGACTATTCCCGTAGGTTGGAAGCGACTCCTGACTGGCCAAACAGGTGTGTCAGAGTCTGCGCTTGTCCCCTCCCCCGACCAAAGGACAAAAATTGGACTAAATTTTAT